CTGATGCTGCTGATGCTGCTGCTGCTGCTGGTCGGAGGATTGTGTCTGTGTGGCGGCAGGTCCAGCGATGGTGGACAGAGGGAGGGGAGCAGACGGCTGAGCCGAAGGGGCCATGCAGCGAGGACGTTGGCAGATGCGCATGGACGGCAGAGATGCTACCGGTCGCTTGGCAGACCGGTAACCAATCGAGGGCCGAACGCTGTGCCTTCCAACGACGAGCCACTTTCCACTTTCGGAGGATGAGCCGGAGAAGCCTTGCTTGCCTTGGCTTGGCTTTGCCAGGCGGCTTCGGAAGCTCATTCCAAAAAATCGGCCAGCTGGTCTCAGAGTTGCGCAGTTGCGCAGTTGCACGTCAGCACCACAACTCGCGCCCTCAGGATGGGTTTGTGCTCTGCGCATCTGATGAAGTTCATCAGTCGCCTGCCTTGGCGGGGCAGCTTGGGTGGCAACATGACGCGCAAGCTCTTTGTCTGGTGGCTGCGACTCGGCCAACGAGTCTCTCAAAGTATAGACGAAGCGCAGCCTCGAGTTTTCGCCGTGGTCGCGCGCGGTCTCTAGATTTCGTGGCTGGTTTGACCCTGGCCGCATTCGCAGCGTTGGGAGGTCCAATCATGCGTTTGTCCGAAGCAGCAGCCAATCGAGAACGATCCTTCAGCGCATTCGGATGAGCCGGCTGGGCTGCAGGGCCCGCCCACTCTCCAGGGTCAGCTGTCCGGGTTGGCTGCCGAGGCGTGACTGTTGCGCAGGCGAGGTCACCCCGTCGTGCCACCACAGGCTTCCGCGCCGAGCTGCAGCGCCAAAATTCATCCCTGGGTAAATTTCCGATCCTGCGCAGCTGCAGGCACGGCGCCAGTCTAGGCTCAAATTGAGCGGAAGAATCGGAAACGAAAAAAATGAAGTCACTGCGTCACGATCCTGGTGGATGGCCTGGGCCGTGCGATCCAAAGCTAGCCTGCATCGGCTACAGTAGAATGCCACCACACACGCTGAGGAAAAAATTCGACTTCCGATGCCTCTATTCTTCTTGTTTTGTCGTCCAACTTGGGCCCAGCAAGCGTTTCCGACGGCCCGTGTTTGCCTCCCAGCTCGAACCCGTGTGGTCGAGTGATGGACAGCACCGCGCAACACCATGCTCACGGTCGAGTACAGCGTGCGCTCGTGGCAAAGAGCCAGTGTGGCGAGTGCGAGCGACTCTTGGCGCTCCAACGGAGGCGAGGACGGTCCATGCTGTTCCGTGCCGGCCAAATTTTGCTTGGCGAGTAGGCGCGCGACTTGGCAACCCGGCCTCTGCTGGGATCCAAACCCGCTCGGACCTGGTCACCCGCTGGTCGCTTTCCTGTCACGCATCGGGCCGACCGAGCGACGTTGTCCGGGTCCAGACGCTCGCTTGCCCGATGGTGTCGGCAAGCAGCCACCATGATTGGCTCGCAGTTCTCCCGAGCTTCGTCCGATGGTGAAGTTCATAAAGCTCGCTCCCGGCTCTCAACTGCCGTGCCGAGTCCCAGCCGGTGCACGTGCGTATTGAAGCGTGCCGGTCCGTCCGAGCATCCGTGGATACCGACAGAAGCCGGTCGCTATTGACCACGTGTCCGCGCCCTTTCCTTACCGGACCGAAAGCAACTGGAGACGCAGTGAGTGGACCAAAAGAGGAAAGCAGCCAACGTAGGCCACCGTCTGCCACCACGACTTTCGCTGGCGCCTGTACACAGCAATCAGGGGAGCCTGAAGGATAGGCTGGCACTCTTCCGAGCCCGCCCAGCAAGCACACAACTAGAGGGTCCTACTCCGGATTCGAGGCGGCTGGCGCATGCAAGCCATCAATACCTTGCAGCAGGCGAAAAATTCTCCGGCCCCGGACTTCGGGAGCGTCGGCACTGTTCGGCCGCTCATTTTTCTGTTTTTGAAATTGTGTAATGTTCACGGCCTAACGTTAAAACGTAAAAAAGGAAGTCGGGAGTGAGGGCGCCGACTTCCGCATTTCTTCAATCTGAATGCACGGACGTTGTGTTGGTGACTTGTTCGGAGAATCCAATGGCTACCATCGCCTCGTGTGGTCAGCTCCGTCTCAACACACGACAAGGTCTTGCGGGAGCGTACGTTCGAGTCTCTGGCGTGATCGAGGCGCGGGACATGCAGTAACAGCCCCGGCGGAACGGGGTAAGCTCGCCGAACAACAGTCGTGGACATGTCGGACCTCGGGCCCCTTGGCCCCGACCACAACCCCTTCGCCGACGATCACGAGCAATCGGATACGCAGACAGCCTCTCCGAAGCCGCAAGCAACGAACCAATCGAACCATGTAGCAAGATCGGAGGCGAACGATGCTACGAGCGAGGAACTTGCAGGCCTGCAGCAGCAACAATGGCAGGAGCAGGATACGCATCTCGATGTGCTCTCGGCGTCGCTCAACCGCCAGCACGAGTTGAGTCTGCAGATGAACGAAGAGCTTGATCTGCATCACGAGCTACTGGATGAATTCGACCGCGATGTCGACAGGACTGGCTTGCGGCTTGGTGGCGCAGCCAGTCAACTCGACCGGCTCCGAAGCAGTCTCAAAGACCACGGTGAGTCCTACACAGTACTGTCGGGATTCGATGTGCCAGTGTAGCTGACCCTGAGCTTTTCGTGTCAATACGACCGCAAACAGGAAGCATGTGGATCTTGGCAGCATTGATAGTGGGTCTGATCGTGTTGATAGCTCTCTTCAAGTAGGACTGACCCCATGCACCCACGCCGAGAAGCGCCACCGTCGATCTCCTTTGACGGATGTCGTGATCTACATTGTTGACCTTCCCGCCCAGAGAGCTCATTTGCATTGTTGGAAGGTGGAGTGGGAGCTGGGCAATCTCGGGGACAGTCCTGGCATGATGAGGTCGGAGGGACGGGCAATCGAGAGCCAGGAGACGTTCCCGCCGCAAGGTGGGGCGTCCCATCGGGAATCCATACCAAGATGAGCGGGATTGACCTGCAGGCACCCGCCCTGCATTCGTGCCACTCCGACTATCGATGTCTCACAAGGGTCTGTACTCCATATCCACGATGGCGAGCGGACGATGGGGCCAAACGTGGAGGGTGCCGGACTTGCACGTCCATATGGGGCTAGGCATTTCGTCATTGGGCATAGCTCTTGGGCTGGCTGTGTTCGGTTGCCCGTCGTCGATGCCCCGCAGACTGACAAATTCCAAACCGGCCGCGCGCCGGGAATTCGCAGCCGCGAAAGGAAAGCGCTCTACGCGTCTACTATGTTGGCGCGCTCTTTCCAGTCTCACAGTAGCAGCACATGCACAGCCCGCCCGCTAAGAGCCTTTTCTGTCCTTGGCGAGGTGCAGTGCATGCCGAGGCCAAAATGTGACACCAACACACAGCGCGCAACCCCGGCAACCCTTTGGTCCGCTCTTGGCTGCTTTGCTGCTTTTTTAGTCGAGACTCACGTCGACTCTTCCCTTGCAGCGCCAGTGCAGATGCATGACCCCACTCTCTCCAATTCCCCGCCAGGCTCCATGCACTCGCTGCAGCCGTGTTTGTTCTTTCGACCGCCGACTGTGCACATTCCTGCAGCTCACTCTGTGGCTGCGAGCACCCACACCAGCTGGAATGAAGCAACGTGAGCATGTGCGCAGGGTGCAGTGCAGGGTGCGGCTTCTGGCTTGCAACGCAAATGAAGTTGATGGCGCGCGCGCGCGCTCTTAGCGTCACAGCGAGCTCCTAAACCAGCAGATCCAAGCGTAGCAAAGCAACCATGCTGCACCCGGCTTCGCTTGTGGAGCGGCGAAAAGCCTCGCGATGCTCCCTCGCTCCCCACACTCGAGGCGGCTCGGCTGTGCTTGTCGCCCACGCAAGCTTCCCACAAGCAATCCCCTTGCACTCGCTTGCTCGTGACGAGGCCCCATCATGCCGCTCTAGGTCGCCGTCGCTCTGTACTCGAATCCTCCGATGCGTCCCACCGGCCATTCAGCCCCTGTACCACCTCCCCACCCACCACCCAGCCGTCTTCCTTCTCGTCTTGTCAAAAACGCACACGGAAGTCCGCACCGCCTTCGGAAGGCCTACCTCGAACCCAAAGCCACGACAGGTTTGCTCTGTCCCACCGCTATACATACATTGCTCAGCTTCATTCATCTCCGTCGATCACCATCACCGCCACCCTCACTCTCTTATATAGCTCATCTGTCCCGCCGGCGGCAGGCGATTCCTGCCTACGTACCGTTCCGCTCTTTGCGCGCTTCTCGATAGGCATGCAGTCTCCACGTCTGTCCGAATCCCTCACGAGGGAGGCTCAAGCCAACATCTGGCAAGGCCCAGCATCACCCCCGAGTCGTGCAAGCAAGTCGGCGACACCCCTCCCTCGTGCCATCAAGAGAAAGCCAGCTCCCAAGGTCCCAATAGAGCTCCTGCAGGAGGAGCCGATCACGCCCGTCCCCGCTCAGCAAACGATCGTGCTCCAGGAAAGGTCGCTCAATCTGCCGACTGACAATGCCACTGCAGCGCCAAAGCCAACGAGTCCGATGCCGGCCTCACCCGCTCGGTCGCAGCAGCACCCACAGAAGCAGTACATTCTCGACATTGATGCGCCGGCGGAAAACAGGAGGGCATCCACCTCGGCCGACGCTTCCGTCCAGGAACTTCTGCGGTCAGCCACCCTCGCTCCAAGCTCTGCTGCCGCTCGCCCTCGCAAGGGCCCTCTTCGGTGGATGCACGACAAGGACGAGCATGCACCGTCCACATCGACATCATCGTTGCAACCCCGCCAGCCCGCGCTCAGTCGCAAGACCAGCATCTCGGCGCAGCTCAAGCTTTCGCTCCGCAGGAACAAGGTCGAGAACCAGCCTGCCGGGCTTGTCATTTCCGCACCCACCAACTTTGTCCACCTGAGCACGGGGACAGAGGGTGCGTACGGGAGCGCAGGTGGGTCGTCGCTCCGACGATCGTCCACCACTTCGGCTGCATCGCGCAACTCGTCCTTGCGTTCGTCAATCACATCCGTCAGCAGCGCATCGTCCTTCGGTAGCGAAGCTGAATTGGCCACGGCGTCCAATCACGTGGATCAGGACAAGGCGCTCTACTCGCCAAGCGAGAAGAAGCACCCTCTGCGACCACTCAAGTCGATCCGAAGACCGTCCAAGCTCACGCTGCAAGATGTCAGCCTTCCGCCCATTCCAGCGGGCACTACGAGTCCGAAAGATAAGCGCAAGGCGATCTATGCAGCGCCCGGATCGGTCCCTGCGATTCTCGAGCCTACCACCGACGACATGCCGACTCCAACTGCCACTACCAATGCAATCGTAGCAGGGTCGCCGGGTACTTCTCCTGCCGGGGCGTACTTTGCTGCCACACTCGACCGTACATTGGGTCGTGCACGTCTAGAGGCAGAGACCGGCAGTCCTGAACCAGAGCTCAGTCGAAGCCCAAGTTCGGCATACGACTCGTCGGCCCCCACGAGCAAGCGCTCAAGTCTTGCGTCGTTGCATCAGTTTAGCTCGTTTCTCGACTTTCCCGATTTGCCCGCGCTATCAAGGACGAACTCGGGCGAAGGTGTCAAACATGACGATCTTTGGTCCACTCTCAACCCTCACGACACCGTCGCTACTGTATAAGACATCGTGCCTGCTGCATTTGAATACATACCCATCGCGCCCTCACGTCGCAATACCATCCCCAGCTGAGATCAGATCGAGCCGAGTGAAATGTGTGCATGTCAAGAGTGCTTGCTGAGGCGGCGCGGCAAGCATAGAGCGGGCCGAAGTCTCGCTGCTGATACCGTTACGAATGACGCTCTCCGCCCCCTTCCTTGCGCTCCATGCCAAGTGTCACTTTGTTTCTTACATCACCTCGCGCTTGTGCACGCTGCGGGTGAGTTCCATTAGAGTGACGCTCCTAAAATACAAAAGTGACGATCAGGGAAAGGTGGCCTAAAGCGCGCGCCAGGGGCTGTCGTCTTCGTCCAGAGGCTGCTGCTGTTGCTGCTGCCTGGAGAAGGAGTTTGCGCGCGAGGCGTCCGACATGGACTGGTTGCGCGAGAACTGGCGTGGCGAGAGCAGCGTGGCCGGGTACGGGCTTTCGGGTGTCTGGGGGATCCACGGGCTGCCCGCCTCGACCGCCGGCGCAAGGTGCGGCGGATAGGCATGGTTGCCTCCCGTCGGTCGACGCGCGAGCGTCGGCACCTGCACAGGCTCGAACCCAACACCGTCCGGGTCCACCTTCTCGCTCGAGCTGTGGCCCTCGGACGACCTGTGCGCCGCCTCGGATCCTGGATTCGGGCTCTTGATCGCAAGCCGAGGCCACTGGCGCTGCATCTCGAGCGTGTCCGGGTCCGGGTTGTCCGACGAGTAGCGCGGCGAGCCGGCATCCCACTGCTCCTCGACCTCCTCGGAGCGCGACACGGTGCCGATGGTGACCAGGATACCGTTGTCGACCTCGGTGGGATCGTTGCGCGAGCGCGTAAAGTTGCGGCGACCTCCCCACGAGATGCGCGTCGTTTTTTCGGGCTGCGCGCTGCCGTTGCCCGGGTTCGACCTGGCTTGCAGCACAAACGAGTTGACACCCGCTGCCGAAGGGTCCACCGCCGATTCCGCGCCGTGGTTCGCACCGCTGATGGCGGCCGCTGAGCCGCGCAGGCCACGCGTGCCACGAGCGGCTGCCGAGTTGTCGCCCGAGGGCGAGCCGGTGGAGTTCATGATCTCATTGACCTTGGAGCCGTTGCGCTGCGTGATGAGCGAGGCCTTCTTGCCCATCTCCCTGAATGCCGCTGCGGCAGCGATCGGAGGCACGCAGAAGACGAGCGCCGTGCCCAGCACCTGGTACGACGGCTCGGTGAGCGAAAAGTAGGTCGACACGAAAAAGATGTCGGTGCCGAGCTGGAGCACGTAAAAGTGGAAACCTTGGCGGATGAGGAAGCTCGACAGACTGCGGTCGTTGAGGCCCGAGTAGAGCTGCTGCGGTTTCTTGTTGAGGATCGCCTTGAGACCGCCGTCGATCAGCCTGTGGAGGGTGAGCAAGAGCATGATGACGTCGAGGCCCATGCTGAGCGACTTGTACACGACGTTGGCCACGAGCGTGCGGGTGAGATGCCTGCGCGTGTCGTAGGCGCAGAACTCTGTGCCCGGAATGCGGTAACCGACGCCGTAAAAGGGGATGCACACTGCCGCGGCAGCCAGCACGACGCAGTAGTATAGGGTGAGGGGTGTGACGATCTTTGCCTTCCAGCTGTACAGAGCCATGGTCCTCTGTACAAAGACGAGCGAGACCGAGTCGAGGAGGATCATGCCGAGGATGTTGAACGCCTCGGGCATGGCCTTGCAGTCGTCGAACTTGAGCGAGAGGAAGAGGACGACGAGGGTGAGGCAGACGACCGAAAGGTAGCGGCAGGAGAGGTAGGCGAGGCGCGAGACGAGCTTGGCGGGCTGCGACCAGCCCGACTTGCGGATGAGGTTGATGTCGAAGCGGATGTGGTTGAAGAGCTCCATGACGACGGCGCCGAGGCAGAGGCACATGATGATGAGCAGCACCATGAACGACTTGCCCGCCGAGGGCGGCAGCACGTTGAAGATGATCTCTGCCTGCATAGCGGATGCGCTTGGGGTGGTGGCGTGCAGCGTATCGCTCTGGAGCATGGCGAGCTCTGGCGACGCAATGATCGCCATGTTGTCGGTGATGATGTGAAAGGCGGCTCTCGGACGAGAATCAAGATGGACGAGTGTTGGCGGGCCGAATGAGTGAAAGACACTAAGAGCGAGGGAGGCGGGGCGAAACGAAAGAACGGAGCAAGTGAACAGGGGTATCAGAGGTGGTCGAGACAACGGGACGGCTGTCGGAAGGGGGAGGATGGTGCCGCGACTATATACTGGGCGTCACCTTCGATGGAGGGCGCTAGGATGCCTGTCAAAGTGATTGGCTGCAGCTGCACATGCCGTCCAAGAGAGCCGCAACTGCAGAAGCGTACGTGCGTCTGCATCTGCTTTGGTCACGACGATTGTCGTGCCGTTGCAGGTGCAGATGCGGCTCTGGCTGGGGCCATGCTGGGCTCAAATTTTCGGGGTGGGAATAGCTGTCAGAGAACGAGAATGCCGTCGGAGTGCATCGAAGAGGCCATTTGGCCGGATCACCCAACGTGAGTGAATGAGTTGTGGCAAGCAAACCAAAAGCTGCCCAAGCTTCGGCCGGTCTCCGATCCGAAGAGACCGGAGGTTGAGCGAGGAGCAGACGAGTGGGGTCAATTGGTCGAAGTGGTGCAGATGGGGTCGAAGCGAAGTGCAGCTGCTGCATGCACGCACGCACGCAGAAGCGAGCTGACAGCTTGCAGCTCAAATTGAACTGCACCGAACCCCATCGGCCCCGCCGACGAGAAGGTCGGTTGAAAGCAGCTGCAGCACCCAGCCACATCGATCAAGTTTTTATTTTCCCTTCGGCTCGTCTCCGCCGCCCTCGCTCAGTGCTGCTCTCGGTCACAGCGAAGTCGGTTGAGAGCATCGATGATGGCAGCCGGAGTGGCGCAGCAGGCGCGGATGGTACCGTCATAAACAGTAATGAAACCACCGAGCGGTCCAAGCGTGACACGCCGGACGTCGGCGGCCCCACCATATTCCGCGGGGTGACGGCTTCAAAGCTTCGGAGCCAGAGTGGACTTGGAGCGAGCCTGGGAAAAAACGGCGGGCCGAAGGGCGAGGGCGCAGGGCGGAGTCAAAAATACCGCATGTGGTGAGAATGGGCGAAGGGAGCAACGCTGCTATTGCTCGACGCATGGTTGGTACCAGCAGATTTCATGCACCCGAGACAAAAAGAGACAGCTGGGATCTGCAGTTCATGAAAAGTGGTGAGCCGACTTCCTGTTTGGTCTGACTTGCCCATTCGGTTCGGTTGCAGCAGTCCAGCAGTCCAGCGCTGGGCTTCTTTCGAACTGCAAAAATCAGATGGACATGCACGATGTCTCAGATGGAGCTGCACCCTGGTCCCAGGAAGCAAAGCCTCCGACCCGACCAGCGCACAGGCGAGCTGCCATCTTCAGCTTTCATTTTGCGCATTGTTCACACTGGGGCCCAGTCCGGCGCAGGTCACTCGACAGCAGCAGCAAAAGCGGGGTTGGTTGACGCATCGAAGCTTGCTTACCACCCGCTCGCCTGATCAAATCGCAAGTCAAGTTGGTTTCCTCGTAGCGTAGCGTGCTCTTGAGGGGTAGCGGTGGATTGCCCGTCGGAACGCGTCTCACTACCGATGCAGCTAAACTTGCGCGGACGTGACGGCGACCGGACGTCACCACGATTGGTGGACGGTGACTAGCGTGTCGCGCAAGGTCTGAGGGGCCGGCGCCTTTCTGGCTCTGGCTCAGGCTCTGACTCCGAGCATTGCAGGGAAGCACGTCCACGAGGGTCCAGCCAGCTCGCTTGTTACGTTCGTCCGCAAACGCGCGGCGCCACGGCTCAGCTACAAGCCTGGTGCTGTGCAGTGCTGTGCTCAAGACGGGCTTGGCGCCAAACTGCCCGCCCATGCGAACTGGTCGCGAAACGAGGCTGGTCCTCACCTCGGCCAACCCCGAACTCTCGCCACTCGTGAGCAGAGCCAGTTCAATCCACGCAGCCCACCAAATAAGCACGCGATCCGCGATCCGAGCTGCCCGGCATGCTCGGCTGCCGTCCAAGCGAGCCTTTTGGGTCCGGGCCAGCGGCGTCTATTCGCCACTTTCTTCATCTTTCCAACACCTCGCTCATGACCATGGCAATCAGTAACATGGCATGCACGACAGCTGGCTGCGTGTCGAAACGCTAGCGTTGACACATCGCCGCTTGTCCGCTCTGGATCGAGTACAGCATCGGCTTTCAGAGTGAGAGGATGGCTATCCTGGTCGGCAGGCGTGCAGCCCGATTCATGCACTTCATGCATCGACCGTGCGCCCAGTCGCAGCAGCGTTGCTTTCCAAAAATTCGAGGGCGCCTTTGGGATTTTCTTCTCGTCTTCCTCGGACATGCATCCCGCTGCGGGCGACCAGACCAGCCCTAAGTGAAAGACTTGCTGCCCGAACCCGGCCGAACGAAAGCACACATGGCGCTGCCGGTTGCGCTGCGCAACGACCACGGCTCTGGGAGTGCCGAGTCCCGCGCTGCATCCTGCACAACGCAGCAAAAGAGTGCAGGCTTGGATTCCCGAAGTTCCCAGATGCCCCTGCCTGCAAGCTCTCTCCATCTGCTCCGACACCACATTGCAGATCCGATCCTGCACAGACGCCACCCGCCCTCTCCCGGCATCGGTGGGTGCGTGCATTGACCGTGCGCTTCTCTCGATGTGTCCGTCCAAGGGGATGGGAGAGGACACGGCTGTGAGCTAGCAGCGCCCACAGCCAAGCGAGCGCGCTAATGCAAACCAGCAGCTCCGTCCAGCGCGGGGCAAACAAAAGCCGCACCGGCAACAGTCGCCCTTCAAAGCCCGGCAATCCATACCCCATTCAACAGTCTAACACATCGCTTTTTCTTCATCTGAAACGTGCACAGGCCCGTCTTCCGTCTCCCGCTCGTGTCTGAGGTGCCCTCCGTGTCCCGGCCCGCACGATGTAGGCTTTGCGTTGGAAGCCGGTCCCAGATAGGCAAAGGTGGCGATCGTAACTTTCGATCTCGCATCTGCCGGTGTTTAGTCAACGCGGGGCAATGCGGCACGCACAATTGTCAACTCCGCCTGCCCGAAGTTGCTGGGCGGAAGAGGCTGATAAAAGATCGACGGATGGACCCATGTGGAGGCTGGGGCTTGCATCTGTCTGTCCTTCCCGACCGTCACCCCTCTATCTACCGACTCCGGCACCATCATTCTCACAACCGGTACCTCCGCCCCTGGACGCCTAGAAGCCATCATAGACAGCGTCACTGGCGCATAAAAGGAATTTTCAGGCCATGTCCCTGCCTCAGCCCGCGTCGGATGCTCGGTACGCCGTGTCCACCGTGACCCTTGAGATCCCGCTTGCCGCACCCATCACGCAGGAATCAGCATCGCCGTACACGTATCAAGATGGCGGCACGACCAAGCCGGTGATCTCGGCAGACACGATCCTTCTCACAATCTACTACCCCACCGAGCATGCCAACAACAGCGAGACTGGCTCAAAACTCGACTGGCTCGAGGCGCCCAAGATGCGCAGCATCGGCGGCCTGCTCAAGTATGCTGGCATCCCAAAGTATCTGGCCCTTCCCATCCTTGTTCCCGCATACAGCGTCGTATCGCAAAAGCTTCCAGCATCCGTCGACCAGTCGCTTGCCTCCAACGACAGTTCCGCCGATTTTCCTGTGGCGGTCTTCAGCCACGGCATGGGTGGCACGCGTACCGCCTACTCTGCTTACTGTACTTCACTTGCAGGGTCGGGCATCATTGTAGCCGCTGTCGAGCATCGCGATGGATCGGGAGCCTCGACCACCATCTATCACCCCGAAGCCAAGGATGGCAAATCCTCCGCATCCCCTGGCTTCTTCAAATGGCTCATTGGCGGCTCCAACGCCAATACCGAGAACAAGATCTATGTGCGTCCTGCCGAGGTCGATGGCAAGCCGGAGCCGCTCGAATTACGTCGTGCGCAGGTTGAGATGCGCCGTCGCGAGGTGCTTGCCGCCTTTGACGTGCTCTCGGACATCCACACTGGCAAGGCCGCCTCGCTCGTCGAGTCGTGCACCCGGACGCAGAAGGAGGACGTCAAGACGCGCCAGACGCGCTCTGAGCTCCTCGCTGCCTTTGCAGGCAAGCTTCGTATGGACGATGCCTGGCTCATTGGACACAGCTTTGGTGGTGCCACCGCCATCCAGGCGTTACGCCACACCGACTGCCCATTCGCACAGGCTCTCGTGCTGGATCCTTGGGTCGAGCCCGTCCCCATCGACGGAGAAGGGGTGGCTCCCGTGAGCAAACCTCTCTACACCATCAACAGCGAGGACTTCACGCAATGGAAGACGCACATGGATGATGTTACCGCCATCTCGCGCGCTTCCAAGGCGAGCACAGGAGGCAAAGGGTGGCTGCTCACGATCGGCGCCGAGGGCACGGAGAAGGTGGACGCGGCCGCGCCAGTAGTTGCTGGACCGCCCTCGCGACTGGTCATCGTTCATGACATGTTTGGCACACTCTTCGGGCTCACCGCCTGCATCGAAGCGCTCGTCTCGCTGTTCCCGGAGCAGCTGCAGGCGTCGGACAAGCTCCCGCCCATCGTGCCCGAGCTGATCGTCATGGACTGGTTCCACGCAACGCAACGCGATTTCACCTACTCCAGCGTGTGCGGCCAGTATAGACCCATCGGCGAGATCTTCAAGGGCACTCTGCCGCGCGTGTTGCTGCAGGCGGGCATCTTGCCGAAGAAGGATGCATCACATCCGGCTCTTGCCAAGGCAGGCTCGTTTGCAGACGGAGGAGCCGCAGAAGAAGCGCTCGAGAATCCCTTTGACCCTACCGTGGTCGAGACGATGATGGGCGCGCTCAAAAAGCTTCAGCCGAGGCCGGGCATGGTGGATGCACTCACGCGCATCTACCGTGACCGCGATGGCAAGGGAAGATTGCCCGCCTCCGTCAGCAAGGTCGACGTGTGGGCGGCCACCAACGGCTCGCTCGAGCTCGGGCGCGGCTCGTTCCTGCGTACCCTGGGCGACAGCGATGGTGCCGACCTGGACAGTGACGCAGCGCAATCTGGCCGAAGCGCCGCGCACAACGCAGTAGGTGCAGGCATCGGTCTTTTCAGCTGCGATGAGATCGGTGTAGCCAAGCCGGATCCCAAGGTGTATGCCGAGGTGCTGCGTCGCATTCAGGCCGAGCCCATCGACCCGAACGCGGCCAAGAAGGAGTATCAGGGCATCTGGTTCGTAGCCTCTCACACCTGGGATACGTTTGCGGCCAAGCAGGCCGGCTTCCGCACGGCCTGGGTCACGTACGAAGAGTTCTACTCGTGCCCGTCCGTGTACGGCACTCCGGACGTTGTCGGCAGGAATTTGGAGGAAGTAGCCGAGAAGATCCTCGCCTTCGAGCGTGACTTGTGCAGCCAGAACGGCAACGCTTCCGCTCAAGGCTGGACGTACCACAAGGAGCAGCAGGAGCAGACGATGCCGGGCAGCCAGCACACGTCGTTCTCCGACTTTCCCTTCCTGCTGCCGTCCATGTCCAAGTTCACCGGCAGCGTCGCGGTCCAGTCGATCCTCGAGGTCAATGCCCAGATCACGCAGCGCATGGTGCTCCAGAACAAGCGCGAGGAATCCGACGGCGTGTTCGCCGGCTTGAAGGGCAAGGACGACGCAAAGGAGTGGCGCATCTGGAAGGAGGGCAAGGCACGCCCCACCGAGCTTCCCAAAGAGGCCATCGGCGGCGACAAGAACCGCCAAGGCCGGCTCATCGTGCACGCCCTGTGATCGTCTCCGATCATCGGAGACTGTCCACCCGTACCCTTGCTGTGTATGCCCCTTGCACTTTCTATAGATGGATCCGTCCAGTCCATCGCCCAGAGGTCCGGTGCGAAGGATATGTGGGAGGATCGGGGGCTGCATCGGGTGTTTGGAAGAATGGCGCGGGTGAGTTTCCGGCAGCCGAACAGAAGGCCGAGGGAAGAGGGTGCAACTTGGAGCCAAGTCCGAAAATCGCGTGCGGCTGGCCCTTGCACACGCTATTCGGACATGACCGAAGGCGGCACCAGAGCAGCACACTTGGCTTGGCTCGGTGCATTTCCCGGTAGAGATTGGGCAAAGAGACCCTCTCGTCCTCAACCACTCCGCCCAACGAGCCTCCCGGTCCTCGCCTGCGATTGCACAAAAGCGATTGTCTGCTCATCGACGCAGCCTACTTCCCCACCCGCTGCTCTTCTCCCCTTTGGCATTCCACGTTTACCCTTCCCTCCGTTTCATCTCCGTTCCCTTATCGCAATCAGCATGACCGCCATCCCGCTCGACCAGTTCGACGCCGTGCTTGGCTCCACCTCGACCGAGATCTCGTCGGTGGCTCTGGGCGGCCGCGTGCTCAGCACGTCGGACGAGTGGTTCGCTCCCGCCTCGTCGCTGCTCAAGGTCGGCCCGGCGCCTTCGCTCAAGGGTCAGTTCGGTCCCAAGGGTGCGCTCTTCGACGGCTGGGAGACGCGTCGTCACAACCCTACCTACGACTGGGTCATCCTGCGCCTCGGCCCCAACGCCGGCGGTCGTCTCATCGGCTTCGACGTGGACACGGCCAACTTCATTGGTAACGAGGCACCCGAAATTTCGATCCATGCGCTCACACTGACCCCCGAGGAGGAGGCCAGCACGGGTAACGCACTCGCCGAGAACGACGCGCGATGGGAGACGCTTGTGCCCGTTTCACCATGCGGACCTTCGCAGAGGCACCTCTTCAAGCTCGAGGCGGACAAGCAGCAGAAGGTGTACACGCACGTCAAGCTGCACATGATCCCCGATGGTGGCATTGCGCGTTTCCGCGTTTACGGCGTGNCAAGCTCGAGGCGGACAAGCAGCAGAAGGTGTACACGCACGTCAAGCTGCACATGATCCCCGATGGTGGCATTGCGCGTTTCCGCGTTTACGGCGTGATCCCCCCACCGCCCGTCGGACAGGGAGACGGCGAGCAAATCGACGCTACCAACAACGCACTCAACGTGCTCGACCTCGCGCACTGCCTCAACGGCGGCCGCATCGTCTTCACGGACGATCAGCACTTTGGCGCGGGAAGCAACATCCTCCTCCCCGGCAGGGGCAAAGACATGGGTGATGGATGGGAGACGCGCCGTTCGCGCGGCAAGGGCCACTTCAACTGGGCCATCATCAAGCTGTAAGTCCGGCCCACGCCAAGTTCTTTCTCCGCTCGTTATAGAGCATCTGCTCGAGCATACACTGACTTTCTTTTGATCGTTTGCTTGCATGGTCGATAGTGGAGAGCCAGGTCTGCTTTCGTATGCCGAGGTGGACACGGCGCACTTCCTGGGCAACTTCCCCGAGTCGACCGAGCTGCTCGGCACTGTGCACGAGGCCGACTCGGCGCCTTCTGCCGATGCCAAGTGGGTGACGCTGCTGCCACGCACCAAGCTCGGTCCTGGCCGCCGCCACTTCTTTGCGCTCGCCAACGGTGCTGCGGCGGCGTACACGCACGTCATGGTCAAGATGCACCCGGACGGCGGCATCAAGCGTGTGCGCATCCACGGTCGTCGTGCGGCGCCGCTGGCTGCCGCCCGGATTGCGGCCGAGTCGCTGCCTGCCGTACCTGTGCCGCAGGACATCCAGGACCCCCTGCCGTCGGCGACTTCGGACCCCTTTGCTCCCGTAAGTGCCGCCACCTCCCTCGCGCCTGCTTCCACCCCCTCGTCCTCGGCGGCTGCGGGCATTACGATCCACGGCAAGTTTGTGCCAGCGGTGCCGCTGACGACGGCCGCGTTTGCTGCGTATGGCGCGGTGATCGATGGTCCGTCCGGTACCAACCCTGATGCCGGCAAGCCGTTCAAGGTGGTGAACCAAGGCACGGCGAAAAAGTACCTCGACTTGGCGGCGATTGTCAACAACTACCCCGCGGATGCACAGGCGCGCGCCAACGTGCACGTGTACCGCTGCGACCCAGCAGCCGCGCTGCCGTTTGAGGTGAAGCTGCTCGAGCGACACCGCTTCACCACGCAGGCGTTCATCCCCATGGTGCCCGTCAACGGCCTCCAGCAGGGCTTCCTCGTGGTCGTCGCGCTCAACGGTCAAGGTACTTTCGCCTCTCGCCTGGACCCCCCGTGACGTTTGATGGATGGATATTGACTAGAGCTTTGCGTTTTCTTTTTGGTTGTGTGCGGGGAATAGATGACCGCCCAGAGCTGAGCTCGCTCGGGGTTTTCCTCGCAACGACGGAACAGGCGATCCAGTACCACCCGGGGATCTGGCACCATCCCATGATCGCGCTCGGCAAGCAGCCGACCGACTTTGCATGCATCGTCAACGAGTCCGCCTCCCACCCGCAGCTCGATTGCGACGAGGTCGAGGTGTAACTTCGAGCCTCAATCTATTCTGTTGTGCAAAGCGATGCGCGTGGGTTTACAGGGTGATGTGCAGGGTTGGGCCGGAAGAAGATGTGTCGCGCTCCGGGTTGTAGAGGGGGTGGTTGGACGCTAGGCGGGTTGTCACTTCTAACGTCTTGCGTGCATTCGGCTGTCGGACGTAGACATCGTGTCTTCTAGACGTGCTTGCGATCTTGATCCACTCGCCGCTTGCCGAAAAGCTTGCCAGTGGAATCTCGTCTTTGCTGGTATCTTGCTCAAAGGTGAACGTGATTGGGTCTTGTGTGGTAGCCATGGCGACGCAGGCGATGCAGATGGTGACATTCATCGCTGCCGCCCACCATCCTATCGGGGTTGTGGCTTGCACCAAGCTCGAGTGGGGTGCGAGACGGACATGCACGAGTGGCAGGTGCGAGAGTAGCGATGTGACGAGCAACAGCGTCGAGATCGTTGTCATCCCCGAGGCGGTCAGAACCACGGCGCGAGATGTGGCGGCAGTATAGGCATCGTGTGTGCGCGAGATTCGCAGCGCACACGCTCGCTGTAGCGTCACATACCGCTGCTGCAGCAGCACGAACGTTCCCGCACTGAGCACCGAGACAGCGAGGGTGCGGATGAGTGCTAGACGCGTGTCATCGTGCGGACGCGCAATGATCGCACTCAACACCCCCGTCTGCACCCCAAGGAGCAGCACAGCCTGTGAGACGTACGATGGGTCCGATGGAGCGATTGCCGCGCCTCGTGTTGGCGCCATCGTGCACAGAAGATGCCAGATGATGGTGGTGCATGAAAAAGAAGAAGAGTCGTGTCCGTGCGCAACCTCCACCTCGAAATGCCCGCACAAGAAGCTCGAAACCAAAAAGGAGCGCTAAAAAGGCAGCCGCAAAATTGCAGGATTCCCACCGTCATCTTCACTGCCACCCATCTCAACATCAACAGCACAAGCACATGATACACACGCTCGAGGACGGGCAATAGTGATACATTTTGGCGCTCTACCGGCGATCCAACCTGGTTGCCTTCTAGGTGCGCTGCATGGCCGTGCGTCCGAGTATAGCGCTCACGAGAGGATGGGTAGGAACTGTCGTACGCAATCGATCATTCGTGTCAGCAACGCTTCTGGCTCGGCATGGGTCGCAGCACCGTACTTACGTTTCCAACGACAAGACTCGGAAGGTCAAAGATGTCGCGTTTGATGGTGAAGCTCCACGCGCAGGGCACGAGCTTTCCATCGGGCTTGACGAGCGTGCACGTAGTCATGACGCTCTGCGTCGTATTCTCGAACGCGTGCAGTGCGAACTTCTCCCAGTAGTCGAGTGTGGAGTTCTTGTCCATAAACTCAAAGATTCTCCTGCCCATCAGCTGGTCCTTGCTCCACTGGGTGAGCATGCAGAACTCGGCGCCCACGACGCAGATCTCGCACGTGCGCCGCCACACGACCGTAGGCGTGCCACTGAACGAGATGAGCTTCTCGAACTCGAGCATGGTGCGCTGGAAGGAGCGCTCGACAAAGATCTCGTCCTCCTCCGTAAGCGGCATCTGCAGCGCAATCAGCGACGGCCGGAAGATCGCCAGTGCGCGCACGATGCGCAGCACGTCCTGCTTCTCAAACTTGGACGTGACGTACTTGATGAGAAAGTGGTAGCCTTCGGGATACGGGAATGGCGCTGTGTTGTCGCGGTACGTCTTGGCAATGCGCGCGCGCCAGATGGTGTCCTGCTGCTGCCGCGCCACGCGCCGCGACGCGATCGCCTTGTTGATGTCCGCCACCGGCTCGTTCGACGTCGACCGCTGCGAGGACGAGCCGAGGTCCACCTGCGTCGACGCGCCCGCGTTGGCGTCGCTGCCTGCCTGCTGCGCCTGCGCATCGCTGCCGGTGTTGAGCCCCGTCGGCTCGTCGAGCATCATCGGCTTGGGACTCGGCACCTCGAGTGCGTTGAAGCCATCTCCGCTCACCTCCTGCAGACCCGTGACCGGCTGCTGTGCCTCGGCGTAGGCACCCATTCCGGCAGTGTCGCTGTACGTGGCCGCGGCCGTGTCCAGCCCTCCTGCGCCGGGCGCCTGGCCCACGTCGCCAGCAACGGTGTTGAGGATGGCGTCGAG